AGTAGCTGTTGTGTGGAGGATTCTTTTGGTGGGTAAAGACGGATCCTTGAATTCTACCATTAGATGTTTATTGTAATTCCACTGTTTAAACTCCGCACTATGAACTTGGTATTGTAATAATGTATTTCTAAGAACTCTGGTTGTATAAAATGGACTAAGTATTGTAAACTCGTTCTCATTATTGGATCCTAGAGGAAAAACGTGGATTATTCGAGTTCTCCCTTGGGGTGTGCTCGACGGAATCCATCCGATGTAGCTTGCTTTCGGGGTGCTTAGTGTATGGTGGAAGACGAGCGCCTCCGAAGGTGTGTTATTTTGGGTGGTTCGGCCACACTGAGGCTGGCAGACGCCTCCGCGGCACGCAAGCGGGCAGGTGACTGGGATCCACGTGGGGCCTGGGGATGGGTGTTGGACGCGGGATGGGCTGCGGGGCGCGAGATGGGCGGGTGCGACATCCAGATGTGGGGGGCACTGACGCTATGGGATGCGGACTTGGGTCGTGGGATGCGGTGCGGAATAATGCATGGGTGGAGCGGCGTCCGAGCTAGCCCTTTCATTTTGAAAACGGTTGTCACTGATGTAGCACGATAGCCGTCTTACGTGGCGCCACATAAGTGACAAGGAAGATAAATTAGAATTTCACGATTGATCGAGGAGATCAATTAGATTTTTTTAAAGAAGTATAGAAAAGTATTTTAAAAAAATTTATCAGAACATTCTCTGAAAAATAAATATGCATTTAATAATATAAAATCTAATTTAATGCTAGAAAATTCATAGAAAAACTATTTTAACTCCCTCTGGGGCCCCTCCATTAGGAGGCCTATTTTTTGTGGCATAATAATTAAAGTGGGGATCCCCCCTAAGGAAAACATCCCAGGAACATGGAATTTGTCAATTGGTTAATTACATGTTGATACCCAATCTACGTACACACGGTCCATTTAAATTAGTTTTGTCTGAAGAATCGAACCGACATATTTTTTCTCGACGGTACCATGACACATACACAATCAAACCGACATAACTATCACACTAAAGAACAAGCAAGCTCAACTAACCAGACATGGGGTTTGATTGCTAACAAAATGATCACACAACCCTTGCATTGCATAGACACTCCCCACCCAAATCAACACACAACCCTGTCCCACTGCTGATTGCTGAACCTCCCTCTCTTCCACCTTCAACTTCTATGTCCAGTTGATGACCTCCCTCTCTTCCACCTTCAACTTCTATGTCCAATTGACGGAGGGAGCCTCCTTTTGTTGTCTCATGGGGCAATTTCTTTGCAAAGACTTGTTTTTCTCGAATACGCAAAAGATTGCAAAGACAATTGTTGTACATTAGACCTTTTCTTTAGGAAATGTATATTTTTTTACTTCTCTGCATGAAGCCAAGATGTTAACAAATTGATTGTTGATTAATCTCTCAACTCACAAATATAAGTTGTTTTTGGTATCGACACAGGAGACAAGTGAAAGTTTTGACTAGCTAATTACTTCTATAAAATATGAGATCGATACAAAAAAAGAATTACATATTTCTTCGTAGCCAGCCTATTAATAACAACACTGACTTGGGTCGACAATCTGACTGTCCTTTTTGCTGATTTCCTCATATTTACTACCATGAGACAGTGGAATATTGGTTAGCTCTCTTCAACAAACATATTGTCCAGAGTAAAATGGGAAATTGAAGGACCACGAGCCGTTTTATTTTTCCAGAGAGTTCCTGCAGTTGGTTTGGCAGCGTAACATCAGCTTACCTGAATTTAAATCGAACATACCACAACTAATAAGAATTGTTAAGTGGAGAGGAATCTGCCTAGGTCAATAAGGGCAGCTAGCTTAGCACTGTCAGTGGCATGAAAAAAGAGCAGTACGTACTGGGTCAAACAAACTGATGAAGGCAAGATCAGGACAAGCAAAATGTGCTGGGCAGGCTGCAATCCCCATGTATATATTTGATTTGATTTGGGTCTGTCTCTACATCATACACACACTATCATTCTTGGCAAATAGAGGGAGGAGCGATCGAGGAGCCAAGGCCCAAGAGCTAGCTTTCCTTTGCTCGATTCGATCGCCTTCGCCTGTTGTTGCAGCTGGGTTGCCGGTCCGTCCACCGATGCCTCGCGCCTTCTCCTCCCCATCGCGCTCGCCGTCACGCCAACGCCATGCCCTCCCTCCTCCGCCGCGCCACCGTCGCACGCTCTCCTCCACGCTCGTCGAGGAGAGCGTTGCTGCCGCCGCCGCGCTCGTCAAAACGTGGCATCCCGACGTATCATGCTCCCTCTTCCTCCACGACGCCACCGGTCAAGCGGAGGAGGCCCAGGGCTTCCTGCGCGCCGCCGCCGAACTCCACCGAGCCATGCTCTTCTTCGCCGCCGACACCACCAACCCCAGCTCCCAGAGCGGCCACGGCCTCGTCCAGGCGCAGGAGCTGCTCCAGACCGCTATGCGCAGGCTCCAACTCGAGCTCCAGTTCCTGCTCGACAAGCACGACGAAAGCCAACAACAAGCGGCCGGCGCATCCGCTGCCGGTGCCAGCAGTATACGCGCGGTGGCTAAGGCCATGATGGCCGCCGGCTACGGCAAGGAGTGCATTTCCACCTTCAAGTCCCACCGTCGCACGGCTCTGGCCACCAAGCTGCAGCGTCTGCTCGGCTTCTCACCTCCAACTGCTAGTGGTAGCAGCAGTAACTCGTTGTCGTCGTCGTCGCTCTTCCACAAGCTCACCTGGGAGCAGATCGACGGCAACATCATACCGTCGTGGATCGCCACCGCCACCGTCGCCTTCAGCTCCCTCTTCACCGGGGAGAAAGACCTCTGCGACACGGTCTTTGCCCGCGACGCGGCTGTTCGTGAGGCTGTGTTCGCGGCCATCGCCAACGACCAGGCCACGAGCCTCCTCGGCATCGCGGAGGCCGCGGTGGCAAGAGCAAGGCGCGCCCCGGAACGCCTGTTCCGGGTGCTCGACGTCCATGACGCGCTCACCGAGGTACTGCCGACGCTCTTGTCCGTTTTTGGGGACAACTCCGAGGTCGCCACCAGGGCCGCCGTCGTGGTCACCAAGGCGGGCGAGGCTGCGCGCGGGACCCTGAGCAGCTTCGAGGCGGCAATCCAGAAGGAGCCGTCCAAGGCCACCACGGCCGGCGGCGCGGTGCACCCGCTGACCCGCTACGTGATGAACTACCTCGTCTTCCTCGCCGACTACCAGGAGGGCCTTGCTCTCATTTACGAGCAAGCTGATGCAGAAGGCGCAGACTACACCTCGTCAGTTTCTGGCAACGTTTCGCCGGAACATTATGTGCTGTCAACGACATCGTCTCCGTCGTCGAGCATGTCGTCGTCGTCGTTTTACAGTTACAGCCCGATCCATCGGCTGGTGTCGGTTCTGCTGGGCAAGCTGGACGCCAAGGCCGGGTGCTACCGGGAGGTGGCGCTGAGCTACCTCTTCCTGGCGAACAACACCAAGTACGTGGCCAACAAGGTGGCCGGCAGCGGCAGGCTGCAGGGGGTCCTCGGGGAGGAGTGGGCAGAGGCGCAGGGCGCCAAGGCGTGGGCGCACGTGGATGTGTTCGTGCGCGCGGCGTGGGGCAAGGTGATGGCCGCCATCTCCTCCGTGCCGCAGGAGCCTGAGGTTGTGGAGGCGGCGGTGTTGGAAGCGGTGGGAATGCAGGATCAGTGGGTGGCGGCGGACGAGGAGATGGGCGGGGCGTTGAGGGCGGCGGCAACAGCGGCGGTGGTGCCCAAGTACAGGATGTTCTACCGGCGGTACGGCGCTGCAGTGCGGTTGACGCCGGGCGACGTGGTCACCATGATCGCCACACTATTTGGCGGGACTAGAAGCACTCCATGGCATCAGAGCCGCTGCAGCACCATCTCAAGGATCCAAATTCAAACACAAACCCAAGGAGACCGCAGCAGCTGTTCGCCTGACAGAGAAATCATCAGCATGTACAATTGTACATAGCTCAATAGATCCAGAGAATTCCTTGTATATCAATACAAATGTCGTTCCTTTTCATTTTCCCCAAACACAAGTTAACTTTAAGCAGCATTTGAAAGATTGGGAATAACATTCAAGCTGATTAAGTGTTTCATTTGATCACAGTGGACTACTTCTGCTACAGTACTAGGTATCACCTGTAACATGAAAAGTTTTCTTCTGGTTAAGCAGAAGAGTTGTCCTTCAGAGATGATGGAGCTCAATGGTAATAATACCAAAAAAAAAAGTTTTCATTTGGTTAAGCAGAAGAGTTGTCCTCCAGAGATGATGGAGCTCAATGGTAATAATACCCACAAAAAAAAAGTGAATGGTCACTGGCTCCGACTTTGCTTTACTTTGTTTGAAAGGACATAGTGGATATATGACGTGTAATGGATGATGAAATGAAAGACTCGGTGCCTGGAAACTGGAGGAGGGGAAGCAGGCCGGCCGGCCGGCTAGCTTTGGACCAGGTTCTGCTTTGCTGTCGCTGGATCGCATTCATCGTCATAGATTGCTCAGACACACAGACCAGACAGCAGACAGCAATGCATGTCAGTTGGATCATACATTATGCTACAAAGGATGACGCGCAACAATATACAAAACCAGCTTTCACCTTTCAGCGACCAACGCTAAGGTAAGCTATTTCTCCATCGTCCGTGTCCTGCCCTCTTCGCGTATACATTATGCTTGCACAAGTCTCAATATTGATGGCTAAGGTAACCTAGTAACAATATACTAATCCCAGTCCCATCGTGCAATTAATGCAAGCACAAGTTGTTTTGTATACACCACATCCACATCGTCACCACTCACCAAGACAAAAATTTGCAGTACTCTTCCATTTGTTCATTGTTGAAAACAATAGCCTTGCCTTTGGCCGTCATATGTATGTATCATACAAGGCATCGACTAAACAGCCACACACCATCACACATATCAAAAACACCACAAATGAAGGAACCTCATACAATTGTTTTATCTTGTTTATCGTTTTCATCGTTCAACTAGGAAGCTAATAAACTTGACAGCTCCGCATCCGTCAGCACCGAGGGAGCAACTTTCACTTGCTGTACTACAAAGCCGGCCTCCTGGCATGCCTTGCGGAGAAGCTCCACCTGCGAATCCCCATCTGGGCACAGCGCAACCACTGCACCTCCGCTGCCAGTGAACTTGGATGCCGCCTCCACCATCTTTATGTTCACCGAACCAAGTACACCATCCCCAACATTTCCCTACAATCACATAACCAATAACCACATATGACTCTGTCTTACCTTGCCATTCCATGCATGTGTTCAGGCAGGCACATTAATCTTACCTTCACAGATCAAAATTTTTATTCATAAGTCTCGCTAGCTCAGTATAATCCTTCTGCAGCAAAGCCTTGTGGCCATCGAATGCTAGCTGCGCTACTTCCTTCATACTTGATATTATAAACTCATCACCATCAAGCCATCTTTGTCTAACACTGCTATGGACCTACGTTAAAAAAACATTGATGGCTGTCAACTAGCAGGACTCAAACATCTCAATATTATTTTGTGGCATGTGACAAGATTAAAGAATGAATTGCAGTTTATTTATAGATTTAATTTAGTAAGAACCTTGCCAGAGTCACTGGGGTTCTCTGCATAGATGAGGTATAGAGAAGGAAGCAGATTAACATCCAGTGGCATGTATATACCATGACCCAGCTTGTCCATATGCTCCTGGCTAAAATCCTGAGTAATACACAAACTGAAACATTAACAAACAGAGTTCAAACTAGCTAGCAGTACTTATGCAACAACTAATACATGCTTGTATTAGTTCACACTAGCTAGAAGTATGTTTGCAAGACCTATACTGTCAATAATGAATGCTTGTATCACGTACCATATAAACCAGTCCCCCATAAACCTGTGCCACTCGGTCCTGGAGTCCAGCAACAATTCCAACCTCTTTCTCAGCATTGAGAATTAGATTAGGTCTCATTTCAACTTTTATTAGATGCCTGGCATCATAGAAGTCAAGAAGGCAGCTTAGAGCAGCACAAACAATCGCGCTCGAACCCGACAGCCCAGCCTACAGAACAAAAGAATCAAGACAATATGCATTTAATCTCCAACTCATCAGCATATCAAGGAAATGCTTTTAGCAAGGATTAATCTGCAGCTGCCAATATGTAATGCGAGTAATGGAGGGAAACAAATGAAGTGGATCCCGACTTGTTACCTGCCGAGGAATATTAGTATCATATGACAAGGTGAAATTTTCAGCTTTTAAACTGATATTATTTTGAATACAGTGATTGTAGAAAACTTTACAGATAGCCATCAGCAGCCGAACGCCACCATAATATCCTTCACTTTGCAAACGACTCACCTAAACAAAAAGGAAAAAAAATAATAATAACATAAGCTACTTGCTTAAATAATGGTAGCGATAGTTAAATGCCTTGAACTTGGCATATTTCAATATAATGTTCAGGCTGGCAATCGCCTTCCGTAGTTCCTCTAAAAAATAGTGAAATGCCTCGATGTTTCAGCAAGATTTTTGTTTCCGCAGACTGATTCAAATGTTTTGTCCTTGTATTTGGACTAGATGGTTCATTCCATTTGTATTGAAAACAGTTCAAGAAGAATTTGCCTTACGCCGAAATTTTAAGAAAGACCCTATTTACTGTATTGTAAGCTCTGATTCTTTTCTTCTTTGGCATACAAGGTGTGTGTCAAGCGCCTTGGCACTCAACGACGGCGGCCCGCGACTACGTAGTTCGTAGTCGCGCTCCAGTCCTCACCGCGAGGTTATACCCCTCTGCTGGTGGCTTAACGAGAGTAGAGGTAGGAGATTAGATGATAACTGATTGCTTGCCTTCATTGTTTTGAGTCCAGGGAATATATGAGCCAACCGGCTAACAAACTGGGAAACAAACGATCCTAATTTTAAGGCCTAATTTTCTCCTAGCCACTGGGCCCGGCCCTGCCATCCTCGTCCGAGGTGATCGCGGCCCTTGCCGCGTCACGCGCTGCAGCCCGCTCTGCTGCCCTGCGGATGTCTCGCGCCCTGCGCTGCCTTGCGAATGTCCGGCCCCACATGACATCTCTCCCCTCCTCGAGAAGCAGCTCGTCCTCGAGCTGGAAGCTTGGAAATTGCTCGCGGAACGTGTCGAGGTCTTCCCAGGTAGCCGACTCCGGCGGTTCGCCGCGCCAGTGGACGAGCAGCTGGCGAACGCCGCGCGCCAAGCGAGCCCGCTCAACCCGAGCCGGCTCTGGAGTTACCACGCCATGGTGGATGTGTGGCAGTGCAGGTGGAGTCGACGGAGGCACGCCGCTGAAATTCTTGAGGGCGCTCACATGGAACACGTCATGGATGCGAGCCTGCGGCGGAAGGTCCAAACGTACAGCCACGTCGTTGATGAGCTCGGCGACGCGGTAGGGCCTGATGTAGCGCGGCTTCAGCTTGCCCGTAGTAGCCTGGGGTAGGGAGGACATGGTGCGCTGTCGGAGGCGCAGCAACGCCCAATCGCCCACCTGATAAGACACTTGTCGATGATGCCGATCGTAGTGGTGCTTCTGAACAATCTGCGCCTGTTCCAGGCGATAGCGGACGTCGGTGAGAAAGGCTTCGCATTCCTCCATGTCGCGAGCCACGACAGCAAACCGAGTGTCTCTCGGCTTGTAAGAGCGGATGGTGGGTGGGTCGCGACAGTACACCACGCGGAACGGGGTCTCCCGGAGCGAGGACTGGTAGGCCGTGTTATACACGTACTCAGCCCAGGGAAGCCACCGCAACCACTGCCGGGGTCGGTCTCCCGTGAAGCAATGCAGGTACATGACGATGACGCGGTTGGCCGCCTCCGTCTGGCCATCAGACTGAGGGTGGAAGGCGGACGTCATGTGCAGCTTGGTGCCCATCAGCCTCATGAGCTCGCGCCAAAATAGCGAGGTGAACACTGGGTCGCGGTCCGAGACCACGGACTGTGGCATGCCGTGGAGGCGCACAATGTCGGTGAAGAACGCCTGGGCCACGGTCTCGGCGGTGTACGTGTGCGCCAAGGGGATGAAATGGCAGTATTTGCTGAAGCGGTCGACGACGGAGAGGATCACGGACTTCCCGTTCACTCGCGGCAAGGCCTCCACGAAATCAAGGCCGATGTCGGCCTAGACGATGGTAGGGATGGGCAGCGGCAGGAGGAGCCCGGCGGGGTGGAGGTGCTCCGACTTGTACCTCTGGCAAGTGACGCACTCCCGAACAAAGTCCTGCACACAGCGACGCATGTTGGGAAAATGAAAATCGCGGCGTAGTCGATGCAACGTGCGCTGGACACCCTCGTGTCCGTCGTCGTGGACGGCCGCCATGATCTCCTGCAGCAGTGGCGAGGCTGGCGGTATGTAGAGCCGCCCGTCGTAGGTGACCATGCCGTCGGAGATCGCCCACGGTGTGGCGCGCGTGCCCGCGCTGATCTCGTCGTGGACAGCCACCAAGGCCGGATCCGTGGCCTGAGCGTGGTGGAGGCGGCTGATGAAGTCGAAGCGGGGGCCCGAGACTGCCATGAGTGTGCCCGTAGAGTCCTCCTCGGTGTCACGGCGTGAGAGGGCGTCGGCCACCGTGTTTGTCACGCCGGACTTGTACTCAACGGTGAAATCAAAGCCCAGCGCTTGCCGACCCAGTGATGCTGGGGAATAGTCGCGAGGCACTGGTCGAGGAGGTACTTGAGACTATAGTGGTCCGTCTTGACGATGAAGCGGCGCCCCCATAGGTACGGTCGCCAATGGCGGATGGCGAGGACGAGGCCGATCAGTTCCCGCTCATAGGCCGCAAGGGAACGATGGCGAGGCGCCACCGGTCGGCTGAAGAATGCAATCGGGTGCGCCTCCTGGATGAGCACCGCTCCGAAGCCGTAAGTAGACGCATCACACTCCACGATGAAGGGCCTGGAGAAGTCTGGCAGGGCCAGCACAGGGGCTGACGTCACCGCCCCTTTGAGGGCTGTGAAGGCCGCCGCGGCGTCGTCGTTCCATGTGAACCCCTCCTTCTTCAGGAGCGCGGTGAGGGGTGTGGCGATGGCGCCGTAGTTGTGGACGAATTTCCTGTAGTAGCCCGCCAGCCCGAGGAAGCCGCGGCCACTCATGGATGGCCTGGACCTTGGCGGGATCCATCGCCACGCCGGATGTGGAGATGATGTGGCCGAGGTAGCTGACAGAGTCGACGCCGAACGAGCACTTGGACCTCTTCACAAAGAGGCGGTGTTGGCGTAGAATGGTGAGGACGACGTGGAGGTGTCGGAGATGGTCCGCCCAGCTCTTGCTGTAAATCAAAATATCGTCGAAGAAAATGAGGACAAACCGACGGAGGTGAGCGCGGAGCATGTCGTTCATGAGCGCTTGGAAAGTCGCTGGGGCGTTGCACAGCCCAAACGGCATGACCAAGAACTCGTAGAGGCCGTCGTGGGTGCGGAACGCCGTTTTGTGGACGTCCTCCGGCCGCATCCGCACCTGGTGGTACCCCGACCGAAGGTCGAGCTTGGTGAAGAAGCGCGCGCCATGGAGCTCGTCCAGGAGCTCGTCGACGACGGGGATGGGGAATGCGTCCTTGATGGTGAGGGCGTTCAGGGCGCGGTAGTCGACGCAGAAACGCCATGAGCCATCAGTCTTCTTGACGAGGAGGACCGGTGAGGAGAACGCCGAGTCGCTGCGTCGGATGATGCCTTGGTTGATCATGGCGGCGCATTGCCGCTCCAGCTCATCCTTGTGGGCCACCGGGTAGCGGTAAGGACGGACGGCCACAGGAGGAGCGTCCGGCTTGAGAATGATGCTGTGGTCGTGGGCGCGGGGTGGAGGCAGTCCCACGGGCTCGGCAAAGACGTCCTCAAAGGTGGCCAGCAGCTCGTCGAGGAGGGACATGCTGGCCGTCGCGGAGTGGAGCCCTGGCGCGCTGGAAGGCGGCACCCCGGTCCAGCAGAAGTCACGTCCCCGTAGCTGGAACGACATGGTGTGCTTGGCGAAGTCCCAGACAATCGGTCCGAGGGTGGCCATCCATTGGGTGCCCAGCACCAGATCGTATCCTGCAAGGGGCATGACAAAGAGGTCGATGTTGAAGTCAGTGCCGTCGACGGAGACTGGTGCGTCCCGGATGACGCCGGGGCATGTGATCCGCTCACCATTGGCCACGATCGCCGTGAGTCAAGGCCTGGGCTGGACCGTCAGCCCAGTGCGCGGCGCGGCGCTGGCGGCGATGAAGTTGTGGGTAGACCCACTGTCGAGGAGGGCGACGAGCGTGGTACCGCCCAGCGAGACGGCGATCTGCAACGTCCCGCCGAACGGCACTCCTGCCACTGCGTGCAGGGAGAAGATCGGCGACTTCATCTCCTGCTCGTCGGTCGCGGCTGCTTCGTCGGTGTCAGAGATCTCGACGCCGCCGATGTGGAAGATGCGCCGGCAGACGCGATTGTGCCCCCTGGTGTACTTTTCATTGCAGTTGTAGCATAGGCCCAAGCGGCGGCGCTCCTCCTGCTCCTCCTTGGAGAGGCGCTTCGCTGGCCGGCCATCTCCCTGGTTCACGGGCACCTGAGCCTTATCGGTGGCGACCGTGGGTGCCGGGAGGGCCGGACGCGATCCCGGTGCTCCCAGGACGCCACGCGCAGGGCCCTTGGCCGGAGCGGCGGTGTACTGTTCCATGAGCTCGAACTGCCGGGCAAGGCTCATGGCGGCCGCAAGGGTTTGTGGGTTTTGCATCTAGACCTGGAGGCTGAAAGGCGACAAGAGCCCCCCCGTGAAGAGCTGAACCCTCTGTGCCTCGTCAAGGCGACCGGCGTGGGGAAGCAGTGCCTGAAAGCGGTCCTGGTAGTCGGTCACCGTCCCCGTGCGGCGGCAGGCCGACAGCTCGAAGAGGGGCGCCGCACGGAGCAGGGGCCCGTAGCGTAGGTTGAGGAGCTCCGTGAAGCGCGGCCATGTCGGCGTGCCCTCGTCCTCTTGGACCTGCATGTACCACAGTTGGGCTCCCTCCTGGAGATTGTACGATGCCATCCAAACGCGCTCCTCGTGCATGATCCGCTGCTGCAAGAAGAAGGACTCGCATTTGTTGATGAAGATCAGCGGGTCACTCTTGCCGTCGTAGTGCGGAAACTCGGGGCACCAGTGCTTCGGCGGCCGATCTTGGTGGTGTTCGCCCGTGCCCGGGCGCCCTCCGGATGCCGAGGATCCGGTGACGGAGAGATCATGGATCGCCTTCGCGTTGGCCTCGATCAACTTGTGCATCAGTTCCATGTTCTTGGAGAGTGCGTCGATGGACGCCTTGAGATCGTCTCCCATGTCGTCGGCGGAGCAGGAAGCGACGGACGACGAGGTTGGAGATGCGGCGGCGGCGGATGGTGGTGTGGCTTCGGTGGTTGGCGGCGGGGCGGGCTGGACGACAGCGGAGGAGGGAGCGGATCGACGAGACCTAGATACCAGGTTGTCAAGCGCCTTGGCACTCAACGACGGCGGCCCGCGACTACGTAGTTCGTAGTCGCGCTCCAGTCCTCACCGCGAGGTTATACCCCTCTGCTGGTGGCTTAACGAGAGTAGAGGTAGGAGATTAGATGATAACTGATTGCTTGCCTTCATTGTTTTGAGTCCAGGGAATATATGAGCCAACCGGCTAACAAACTGGGAAACAAACGATCCTAATTTTAAGGCCTAATTTTCTCCTAGCCACTGGGCCCGGCCCTGCCATCCTCGTCCGAGGTGATCGCGGCCCTTGCCGCGTCGCGCGCTGCAGCCCGCTCTGCTGCCCTGCGGATGTCTCGCGCCCTGCGCTGCCTTGCGAATGTCCGGCCCCACATGACAGTGTGGGTGTCCGGAATTCATAATTCATATAGAAAATTTGATATATCGGTGTGCAACTTGTTCCTTCTTGGCTCATATGGATTCCACAGACTGAAAATGTGCACAAAAGTGAGATGCACAAAGACATTGTATGATTGGGTTTGCTCAAGAGAATTGATTCATTGCAATGATGCATGATGGTCATCAGTGGGAGGGAACAGAAGAGCGTAGCATGTTTCAGGCAGGATGACATGGCCATCTTGTTTGATTTGGTGAAAAGAGGACTGAATAAGACAAGAGAAACATGAGAATATATTCGTTAATTATGTTTGAATCGAATCAAATCAAAACAAATCCCATGGTGCAAGGGATTTATTAACTCCATCCGTTCGTTCAGTAATATAAAGTAATTCTGAAAGAAGAAAATATTCTTATCTTATCTTAGAAAAGGAGAGGAAGGCTTATTCTCGAGTTACTGCATTAGACGACTGGGGAGAACATGTAGCAGGAGCAGCTTGCCAATAAAAAGCACCGGCCCCTCCTTCCTTTGTTAAGCGAGAGGAACTAAAGACAGACAGTTTACGTTCAAAAAAACTAAAGACAGATAGTAGCTGGGTTTCACCATCGGGATCGATCTAGCCTCGGAGGTAATGCAAACACTAAGCACTGCCGCTGCGTTTTGTTACTACTATATACTCTTCTTGCTTCCTCAGTTATCTTGTTCTTTTCGATTTTATTTAAATAATATAAACGATGTCCATTGATTGAATGGATTGGGAATCGGATAGCTAGGCTGATAGATGGATCGACACAAAGAAATTAAAGAGAGGAGGGACAGGGTGCTTACGAGTTGAGGGAGGGAGGGGAAGGCGACGAGATCGTGGTGCGGGTGCGGCTGGATGAGCAGCTCGGGCGAAGGGCGGACGGTGGCGGAGAAGTCGGCGATGGTGAAGGACAGCGCCCTGCCGCTGTACACGTCGCTGGGGTTGCCGAGGAGCCCCACCCGCGCGTACGCCCGCTGCTTCAGTCCCATCTCCGCCACCGCTTCCGCCGTCACTTCCATGTCTTCCCTTCTCTTCTCTTCTCTTCTCTTCCACAGAGCTTACTCTACTCATTTTGCTTGTACTAGTCATCAATCATACATCGGGCTGGGCCAGGCCGGGTCTGGATCGGGCCCACCCGTCGCATGAGCCTACCGACACAGCCCGATTGCTGCTGCCTCCGCCAGTCCGCCTCCCCTGCGTGGCTGCGTGGCGTCTCCGCGGCACGGCACAACAACATCCCATGGTGGCATGGGTTCGGGGGAGGGAGACGGGGCCTGGCCACCTGGGGAAGAAGACGGGAGAGGACGCCGCCGCCCGCCGGTTAGCGGAGCCGCCGGAGCTTGGGCGATGTGGTCCACATCTGGCCTCTCTTTACTGTTGGGCTACGACGATACAACTTGTGATGGGCTGATTTTCTTTACGGCTATACGTGGTGGTGGGCTGATGTTAGGTTGGGAAGCTGGGTGACCATATGCTCGGAGGGTTTTTTTTTAGAATAATATGCTCGGAGATTTAGCCAGCGCTAATTTCTCAAAATTTCTTTTCTACTAGTTGGGCCAGTTGGTCGGCCCACGGTCTAAAAAATAGGCTTGGTTTCAACTCAGAATTTGCTCCGAGCAAAATGAGAGAGAGAAAAAAAAACAGTTTGCATCCACCCGACGTGATGACCGGTTAGGTCTGACTGGGTTTCCTTTCGTGAATCGGATCGAGATCGTCGAATCGGGTGATCCATGATCAGTCAAATAATATAGTATTGTCTAGATATTCAATGTCCTTAATTGTTCTCGAGTTGTTTTATTACTAGTATCTAATTATCTCTTGATCTAATATTTATACGTGGATGGGCTTCCTAACTTCTGCTTCGTCCTCCTGCACAGACTTACACGGATACTTATACAGTATCCAACATACTCTCACAAGATCCTTGTTCGATTATGAATCAGAGAAAAAGATTATCTATATTCATATTTGTATATATCTATTTATGTTTGATCCATTTTCATCTCTATAGTTGCTTGGGTTTGGACACCGTTTTGATTAAACGTCCATCGAAGCAGCACGTAAGCTAAAAGTTACAAAATCACTAGAAATTTGTTTACGGCTTCACCAAAGTTCGTATGTAGAATCTTCGAAAACATTTGAAGGCATTCTATGCTGCAGGTGAGAACATTATTAAAAAAACTTAAATAACACATTTAATCCTATTTTTTATGTGACAGGTGTATCTTTATTTCTTTGTGTTATCACATCGACAAATGTGAACACATTTAATCCTATTTTTAATGTGTAAGTATGTCTTTCTTTCTTTTACTTTACCACACCTACATATGTTTTTCCCTATTAACCTTATACACCTTGTACACATCATCAGGTTTATTTTTAAGTTTTATATAGACCTGGACATAAGTCTCCTCCATAGTTTAAATTTTATTTTTTCAATCTTTTTTAACCTACAAATATGTTTTCCGTTGAATTTCCATTATTATCGGTAGTTAGGCCATTTGCAAATGTAAAGCACCCAACTTTGGGTGTTGTTTCTCCTATAGCACTTTGTATGCAAGCTTTCATTTTTTTTTCAATTTTCTCTTAACTTGACCTTCACTAAAAAAAATTGGTCAAACGATGGTAATGCGAAAAAATAAATAATATGTATTACTTGTGTTTCAATACATCCTCTTATTTTAGTGAGGTATATAGCAAACTGTGTGTACCTAGAATACCATGTTGTTCTATTGGTTTCGACAGTCATTTTAAATGTGAGAAATTGTGTTATATATTTATATTCTATTACTGGTGGTATTGGATAACTAGTGTATCATACCTATTGAGAGTTTTACTTTCTCATGACATGCATGTCACTATTACCATGTCTCAAAATTTCAATTGGAAAACATGCGTTGAAATCTTGTGTGTTGTACATTGCCACATTGGTGCGTGCATGTTCTACTAACTCATGCTCTACCCAATCTCGACAGTGCACATACACTTTGTCACCATTTATTTTATATAGTTGCATTAGTTAATATTGCCCCTCTATGGTAGCCAAACAGAATACTTTTCACATTATAATGTACTTTTGATTCTGAGAGAAACTTATAACGAACTATATTAGTGTAAACTTTATTGTAACATGAAAGATAATGGACAAAGAATTTAAAATTCCTATTTTCCGTGTAAAAAGATCAACCTTGTAGAGCAAGTTTTCCCATTTTGTTTTCATTGTGTCATCATTGTCATTTTTAACCATGAGAATTTTTTATATTAATTATTACCTCATTATTTGTATCTGCATTTTTATAGTTAGCAATATTCTTCATACAATAATCTTGGTGACAAAACATGGGAGGTGGAAAGGACCATCATCATGCTGACAAAGGATGCTATCCCCCTATTGGCTATCCTCCAGTACATTCAGCTGGATCATATGCATCTGCACCTCCAGTTGCATATGCATATCCATATGCACAACATGGATCTATATGTCCACCACCATTAGGATCATATTCGTATCCTTCACCTATGTACTCTTCGCACAATGGTTACCCACTATCTGGATATCCATCATACAATCAAAGTTGTCGACAGAATATCGTCGGCAGTCCTCCGAGGGGTATCCCACGAAGGTAGATTGATCGGTAGAGGAGCGCGTGATCAAGAACAAGAAGGCAACAGAGACACACGAGTTATACAGGTTCAGGCCATCAGTATGACGTAATACCTTACTCCTGTGGTCTGTTGGTTTGTATTAGCTATCGTATGATATGCCGTGATTTCAGAGGGGGTCCCTGCCCGCCTTATATAGTCCGGAGGGTAGGGTTACAAGTCGGTTAGATCTGAGAGATAACCGAAAAGTAATAACAGATTACAAGAATCATGGGATCGTACGTATCCTAACAGATCTCGTAGTATCTTCAGGATATCTTCCTTATGTCTTGCGGGAGGCGCCGAGCAGAATCGTGCCCCGCAAGGATTCGTCTTGTGGGCTGGGCCGCCCCTGGGGGCGCATCCCATGTGGTCTGCCGTGGGTATCCGGGGTCGTACCCCCCACAGCTAGTCCCCGAGCGCCTTGTTCCCATTTTGCAACGCCATCTTGAGCTTGTCCGAGCAGGTGCGAACCAAAGCCGAGCAGACCAACTCATGGTCCCACCACCGTAATGAGTCGCCGAGCAGTTGTGAGCAGTTGCCGAGCAACGTGCACCATCGCCGAGCAGTGCGAACCGCAGCCGAGCAATGTATCCCAAGTACGGCTTGCCATAAGGGTGTAAGGAGCTCAAGTCCAGAATTGAAAATTTCTTCGCAGCGGACCAAGTGTGCCCACTTAGAGTCCAAACTCGAGAAAAGGAGATAAACTTCTTCGGCTCCAAGAGGCACAGAGTCTTCCAGAAAAAAAAAACACATTCACCGCAAGGTGAAGTGTGCCCACTTAGTCCCCGAGCCTGATAGTAGATGACGTAGTCATGTGGTGCTAGGGTCAGAAAGTAGAAAACCAGCCAAGCAGGCAGCCAGTCCCTGGGCGAAGCCTCGAGATGAGAAAAGCGCACATTCACCGCAAGGTAAAGTGTGCCCACTTAGTCCCCGAGCCTGACAATAGATGACGTGGTCATGTGGTGCCAGGGTCAGAACCAGAGGAGTAATGAAAGACCAGCCGAACAAGCAGCCAGTCCTCGAGCTGCAAGCGGAGATACCGGAGCAATCAAACCGTGGCGAAAAAATCAGAGTAACGGCTGTACAGTAACGGTTACTAAGCCTCAATAAATGTCGGAGAAGTCGGTGATTTTTCGGCGAGTAGCAACTGATGGCAGCGATAAATGGGCGACATGGGCTGAGATTGCACAGAAGCCCAAGTAACGGCCCATATACCGCATTGGAGAAATCGGAGCGGCGCAGATCGTGGGAACGGTTCCCCAAAAACCCTTGAATGCAGAGAGGTGGGGAAAGCGCTTTATAACAGTGCCGCCACATACCCCGTTCCCACCTTTTCGACTTCATCTTCCTCCTCGACTCCCGCATCTCCGAATCCACAACCACATTTGGCTCCGCCGCCAAAACCTAACCAAATCTGAGAGATGGCGCCGAAGAAAGGAGCTGCGAAATCGAAGAAAGCGGCTACCGGAGCCAGCCATGACGAGTAATGGGTGCCATCAAAGATGGGGGAGGCGGAGCTCAATAGGATGGTAGCGGTGGGTGTTCTTCCAGATCGCGTCACCGCCGGATGGCGACCAGCCCGCGGTGAGCCCTATCCGACACCCCATACTGATGAAGCTAAGGTATTTGAAGATTACTTTTGGCGAGGGTTGGGGTTCCTTGTTCACCCTTTTCTTAGAGATCTGCTGGAGTTTTGGGCGATTAGCCTCTGCAATCTGCACCCCAACACCATACTGCACGTCGTGATCTTTATCCATTTCTGTGAGGCATTTCTGGGTATTCTTCCGCACTTCAACCTCTTCAGGCACCTGTTCTGTCTGAAGGAAAAAGGCAGCAGCGGTTCCAAAGTGGTCGGCGGCGTGTACCTGCAGCTCAGAGATGGGATGGCCAGCGAGTACATCAATGTACCACTGAATACCTCTCTGAAAGGATGGAACGCCAGGTGGTTCTACATCAAACAGAGCCACCCGATAATTCGATGTGACATCCACCACATCCCGGAGAGCCATAATAGCTGGCCGGAGAGACCCAACAGCGCTGACATGGAGCAAGTGGTGGAGCTTCTCGACTTGATTAAGGGCTTGGAGCTTAGAGGAGAATTGGTTGCAGCAAGTTTCATAGTGCGCCGTATCCAGCCTTGCAAAGAGAGGGCCCACCCAGGCTTTGACTTCAGAGGTGACGACGACGGGACCCGAGAGAGTACAGAACGGCTAATGAAGAAAGAAGTAACAGACCGAGCCAGGAAGCTATTCACCTCCAATGTCTCATTCAGCTGGCCAAAGGATACGAAAGCCTTCAACTGTACTAACCCGCCTCCCCAGGTAATCATCTCAATTTCTTCTACTTAATTGTCAATTGCCGAGCAGGGAACTGA